GAGGTGAAGGTGAATAATATGGGATTGCCTTCTTAGAAAAGATTTGGCAAAAACACTTAAATACTTTGGTAACATGAACGTAGTCGTCAAGCATTCTCTGAAAGCAGTGATCACAGCTATAACAAAAGGGAATGAAAAGAAAAAAATTTCGCAGCATAATTGTTTTCTAATAATAAATACCTCTAATAATGTGGATATTAATTTTTAAAATCTACACACTGAAATGAGATCCATACCTTTGATAGATCTACTCTTTGAAGTGAACGTTCTTCTACAACTTGCTTTTTTTAAGCTCTTTTGCTGTGAAGTGATGAGTAGGCTGTTGGTATATGTAAATCTGTCTATTGGTACACTGTGTTGTCAACATATATGCATAGGTAGTAATATTCCAGGCATTTTTATTGCAGTTTATTGTTCTGGCTTCCAAATAAACCAGATAAAATCATGTACAAGAACATTAAGGATTAAGGGAAGTGGTTTCCTTAGGTGATTGATGGCAAAAATTCACCTTCCTATTATAACAGTAAATGGCCAGTAATATATTTGGCTATTACTTTCCTACAAATTTGGATTCCCAGTTTTCAGAGCTGCTGCGTGTCTAATGTTTGTGGCTTCTTTGGTTGTCTTTTCGTAGGAAAAGGTGCCACGGTGGTTGGGTAAATGTACTACGTTTCTTTGTAAATATTAAACTCCATTTTTGAACATACAGTGCTAGCAAAAATAAGTCAAAGATGTAATGTCTATTTAAACACATTTGATCTGGTTAGTGCTTAAATTAGATTCCATGCTTCAGTTTGAATCAACTGTGTATTAAAAACTTCAAAATTCATATGATCCATCTTCCCCTCCATGTACGGATACGAGGTAGGAATGTGCGTGAAAACTTCTGCTTAAAACTGTGGGATAAAACAAGCTTTTATGCATGGGCTTTTAAAAAAATACCTGTCGTTAAACCTTTTATTCAGGGCATTCCCAATTTGCTTTGCTAAATGGACATAATTCACTGATAAAGAAACAGAGGGACAAGATCTGCTTTTTAATTTACCATACCGTCCCTAGTTTTCCGCTAAAGAAAATTTTGTATATTTAAAAATATACACTCCTTAAACAAGTCTTTCAAAACCTCAGCGTCCCCTCCCAGCTGCCTTCTGGGTTTCAACTTTTGAGTTTCAGGTCCTTTCACAACACCTAAGACGTGCAAAATTCTCCTTCCTATTCCTGGCAGAGAACAGTCCGAAGGGATCTCTCCCCGCGTCTCCACCCTAATTCCCTCTCCGCAGACTCCGCGGGCTCCTCTCCGTCCCTCCTCCCGGGCTCCGCCGGCCCCCTCGGTCGGAGGAGTTGTGTACAAACTGCGAGGCCGCCCTGAGCGCGAAGCTCGTGGCCCGAGAGGGGCGCGGTCAGCGCGGCGGAGGCGGCGCTCTGGGAGAGCTTCTTCCTTCTCATAGGCTAGCTGCTCCGGGCAGGTCGGCCTCTGGGCGTCAGGATTCGCCGCGGCGCTGCCAGTCAGGCTGGCGGGCCACGCCCACCCGGAGTTGGGTAAAATAGACGCGGGCGTCAAGTGTCAGCAGTCGCGGGGCAGGTACGCGCGTTCGCAGCTCGCTCGCGCAGACCGGCGGTGGCGGGAGCGGGCTCCGGCAAGTGCGAGAGCGAGGCGGGGCGGGGCGGGAGAAAGTGGCCGCCCGGAGGACGTCGGCGTTTACGCGTGGCGGAGCGGAAGAGTTTGGCTTTTCGTGCGCGCCTTCGAAAACCGCGCCTACCGTCCGCTGAGGGGTCCGTCCGGAGTCTCCCCTCCTTCGCCCGGAGCCTCCCCTCCTCCGCCCGCGGCCCCGCGTGGAGCTCGCCGGCCTGAGCCAGCGTGCGCGAAGTGGGAAGCGCGCTCGACTCGCGCCCAGCGACCGGAGCCGCCCCCCGAGTG